TCATCGCACTGAAATGCTTTCCTCCTCTCACAAAAGAAAAGCAATTGTCCAGGCATAAAAGTGCATCAGGTTAAGGAGTCTCTAGAGTAGTGCTGGGTATCGAACTTCGATACCTTTATGCCATCGATCAAATTACGAGTAATGAAAAGCGCTTTTAACATAACTTAAGGTTGTGATAAATAGATTTAGCTTTTATGCCATGAAACTGCTATGAATGCACAAAAATGCAGAGGAATTGAAAAATAAAACAGAATATTAAACCCAAGGTACCAGTATCAAATTTTGGAATGTTACCCAGCCCTACAGGAGAGTACATGTGAAAGGACAGCCTGCAATAAAGGTGAAGGCTAATGTTGAAAGGTCTAGCTATGAACAGTTAAACAGCAGCAAAATGTTATGATAGCATAAAGAAATCAGGTTGTGCTTTCAGGAATGTGATGGCATTTTTTTTCCCCTTGGTGTAAAACTGCTTGGCAATGGCTCTTTCCATTTGGACACAAGGGAAAGTTGTCAGTAACTTTCCTTATATTGCTCTTTTAGTCACAAGCTGCCCCATTTTTTTTCTTGCAGTTGCCGACATCATTCAAAAGCTGTGCCAGTGTTCATTCTGGCTTTACTTCTTGCAGGATCCAACTTCTTTTTAGTTATAACTTTCTGAAATACAGTGTTACCTGCCCAGATCTGTGGCCATGAACCGTAGCTGGGGACCTCTGGTTCATGGCTAAACCATTTAGCCCTGGCTTGTATCCAGTAACTAACCTTAAAAGTCTGGGATTTTCCACTGGGGTCAGTGAAGAGGGAGGCCAGCTAACTGCGTTCAAAACACAGGTTTTATTCTGTCCTGGTAACACGAACCCTGCATGTGGCCTTTGATGCCCAGTTAACTGCATTACGTTCCTATCTATACACTTAGAGCTGATTACTGTCTGGCTGAATGTTGTAGGCATTCAAAGTGTCATACTTTTTCACCATGTTGTATTTGCGTTGCCCTGTCAGTGGTGCTGTGTAAATAATGAAGTCTTTTTAACCCTGCTTGAGGCTCATAAAATCCAACCTTCAGTTCTCCTTTTAGCCACCAGCCTCCTATACCGTCCACCAACAATTTAGGATTCTGAATTACTGTCGGTTCAGAGGAACTGCTGCCTCGCACTGCGCTCCGCCTTCAACAGAGCTGGCTCATTGAGACACTTGGTTGGCTGAAATGTTGCACAGAGAGAAGGTTCTTGCATTCAGTAGTAGTTACTTTTTATTTGTAATTTCATTGCAGCAAGATTTAAAAATGGAGTCTTTCACTTGTTTTTCTGTTGAAGGGTTAAAATAATGCCCAGGACCAAGGACTACATGCTGCACGCTGGTAACACCATGCCAATACCATGAGTTATGCCCCTTCTCAGCAGCTGGCGCCGCCCTCACATGGTCAAGAGGCCTAGCAATGGGTCGACCAAAACGCAAAGCAGACTCAAACTCCAGCATCCAAAATACCAGTGTTCTGTTTTGCAGGAGAAGCACGCTATAAGGGAGGGGTGGTTTAAAACTAAAAACACTGCAGTGCTACATTACGCATTCAACAATCGCATACATTACTTTAAAAATACATTACTTTAAAAACTTAACTACATTTGTATAATCTAGGAATGTAGTTTATACAGTAGAGAGGTTTGGTACCTTCTCTGCCATAGCTTGCTAGCTTTAGCTGTAAAACAGAGCAGTAACATGTCTGCCAGCAACTGCAACACCTTGTGGGAGACTCTTGGCTCACTGTGCACGGGCAGAGTGTGTGCAAGTAGGAAGTAGGTTGATAGGGAGATAGGCCATTCAGTGGTTTTGCTTGTGCTGAGTAAAATTATTTGTCAGGCTTTTTCAGCCTTGCCAATGCCAGAGATGATGAATTTTTTTTATGTTGTCTGCATTTAATGTGTTCATTGTCATCAGGATGAAAAGATATATAAATTATGTAAATGAAAATTTCAAGATGTATAACAAAAATGCTTCTGAAAAGAATCACTAACCCTACCTTTAAGCTCAGACACTTAAGTGAAAGTTTTTGACTACCTCAGCTTCATTTCTGAGTTTTTCTCACTTTATGGATCACTAAGCAACAGGGGAACAACAGAAAGGCAAAATAGTAATAACTTAATTGAGACACTTCTTTTTTTGATATAGATGTTGAATAGTTGTTCTCCCCAGGTGTGTGCTTCAAGTGGCTGGTTAGTGAAACATAGCACACCCAGGTGATGTTACACACGCACACAAACACAAAGGCTTAATACAGAAGTAATTTTGTCCACCCCCACCTTGTCTGTCATCCCATCCTTTCAACCCGGTGGTGTATTCTTCATTGCACACATTCACACACATACAATCACATGGCATGGAAACACTGCTCAAGGCTTTGTGGTTGCTTAGCTGCCCACATACTCACCTGTACCCACCCATTTCCACCTGTTTAGTTGTTTAGGACCGAAATAGACCTGAAAGTAATTGCTTTAGCATGGGGTAATGTACGTTCACTCTCGAGTGGTTGTTCGTACTTGCAGGATAGACACCACAGGCGGATCAGTCACTGTTTCACTGGGGTTGAAAGTGTCAGTCTATCATGGTGCCCATTCACTTAGGACACACGTGCAAAAGCTAGTTGCGTGGGTAAGTCCTTCACCACTTGAACAACTTTAGGCCAAAGATTCTGCCCACACTTGATCTGCTGTGACTGCTATCTGTTTTTTCATCATCTCAATTTTGGGCCTGGTTGCCTCACTAACCTGTTAAAGGTGCACTGTGAAAAATTCAGAGAGTACCTTTGTAGAAATGGAATACAGTGTTCATAATTAAATTTTCATTAGTGTGTAGAATTTTATGTTTTTTTGCATTAATTTGTCATAAAATGTGGTCTGATCTTCATCTAAGTCGAGAGTACTGACAAATATAATGTGCCTAAATTCTAATCTTTCATGTCTTTATTGAAGACACTCATTCAACAATCAAAATGGTAGTCACAAGTAAGTGAACCTCTGGAATTAATAACTGGTTGAACATAGATGTTATCCAGGTCCAATGATGCCTTCAAATCTTTGGCTGTCACTCAGGGTTGTTTGTGCTCTTGGGGTCATTTTGACTTCTTGGTAGAGTAGCCACAGCCCCAAAGTGTCTCCATTTGTAGATCGTTAACTGTAGACTGGTGAATTTCTAAAGTCTTTGAAATCACTTTATAACCCTTTCCAGCTTTATGTAAATCAACAATTCTTGATCGTAGATCTTCTGAAGGCTCTTTTTTGGCGAGGCATGGCTAACAGCATATTGTTCTTGTGTGGAGCAAACTCAAAAGGTTTGAGTGGTTTTTATCAGTCAAAGTAGCTCTAGTGCACACATCCAAACTCATTTTCTTAACAAGACTCCAGGTATACTAACACCTGACTCCAATTAGCTTTTTTGAGGTCATTAACTCAAGGGTTCACATACTTTTTCCACTATCACTGCGAGGTTTTTATGGTTGTTCTCAATAAAGACATGAAAGATCAGAATTTTTTGTGTTGTTTTTGTAGGCACATTATATTTGTCAATACTTTTGACTTAGATGAAGACCAGATCACATTTTATGACAAATTAATGCAGAAAACCATGAAATTCCAAGAGGTTCACATACTTTTTCTTGCCATTGTATATTAGGGAGCAGGTCCCCTTTCACAGAGGTCACCGTGTTTCTACAGTAGCCCAGAATGGAGACACCAAACACTGGCTCTAGAGAAGGAATTTTGCATTTTCACACTGAAGAAATTCAGTTTCTAGTTTTCTAAAGAAACCTCACTTGCTACTCAATGCGGTCATAGACGACATGGCACCCGACAGCCACTGTAGGCTGATCTTCAGGCACACTTGGGGATGGGGGATATTCAGATGGTTGCAATCTGCAACTTCACACTAAATCTTATAAACTGCATCTTTAAACTAAATGAAGAAGGCTGGGAAAATGAAATTAGAGCAATAAGTAGGTTTGCTGAGAAACTTGAGGCTGAAACAAACTAGTTAATATGATGCCCCTCCATGTTGGTGTGCAGAAGTGTTTATAGCTATTCCCAGTGGCCACTGTCAAAGGCAGGGTCAAGTCGTTGCTCTCATAGAGAGGGGCTAAACACACTGGACTCTTATCCTCACAGGTTTTCAGGGTGTTGCACTTTTTTGTACACACACAGTGACAAATCTGTAGCTTTCTCTGTGTGACTGTAGTGGGACACGGTGGAGTTTTGAGCTAAATGCTAACGTAAACATGACAACATGTTCACATTGACAATGCGAATGTTGATGTATAGCAGGTATAATGCTTACCATGTTCACTATCTTGGTTAAGTGTGTTTCCATTTGCTAATTAACACTAAACACAAGGTACAGCTGAGGCTAATGGGAATGAGAATAGTTTAGCAGCCATTTTGTCATGAATCAAAGTCCTGGACAAAAAAAAAATTGACCTGATGATGGTGCTACACATAAGTTAAGGAATCAGCAAAGTGCCTGTAGTTCATCATGAATGTCTCCTGATTTTGAAATCTGGAACAAAAGTTTTGGCCCAGTAGACATTGAAATCCCTAGAACCAAGCTTCCAAGTGCCTAATAAAGGGAGAGCTTCAGTGTTAAGTTCAAATCCTATCTGTTATCTTACCTCGGCCAGTCGCTGTGTGACGTGGGCTTACTTATTGGTTTGTCTGTTTTGGAAAGAAACAAAAATGGCCCAACTTTGCACTCCGTCACATCACTGTAAAAGTGTGAGACAAGACACAGTTTCAGGTGCTATGACAAGCACTTTATTTGAGGCATAATGACTACTTTAGTGTATACAATGACTGGCCACATGTCAGTGACACTAATAGTTAGCTGGCTGGATGTGAATGAGCAATAACTCAGGAATATGTTCAGATACAGTCTCATGTTACCAGGTTTTTTATTTTTATGTTGTGTAGTTCTTAACTTATTAACCCTAGCTGTCCATCTCTGTTTATCCCCTTTCTCAGCTCTTGGAGTATGTTGGCAAAGGAAAGAGCATAATGGACGTAGGTTTGGCACAGGCCCGCCAGCCACTCACCACCCGCTGCCACTACTATGAAGTGGAGATCGTTGATGCTGGGGAGAAGTGCTACATTGCCCTGGGCCTGGCAAGAAGGGTGAGCTGTCTCAACAAAGACCAACTTTTCAACAACTGCACAGGCACCAATGCTCAATGGAGAAGCAAGTTTTTTTTGCATTGGCCCCTTCCTCCTTTAACCCATACTGTCATATATTAGGCAGTCTAGCTCAATGAAGGGATGGGGAGTGTATGAATATGACCCTTGCAGCAAGGGTGAGGTTTGAGTGGTTTTCTTTCTGTCTGCATATACAGGGGCACACCACAATGTTTGAGTGTTTTAAGATTTTCAGTGTTTGTTGTTGCGCACCTTTCAGGCCACACAATTGCAGGGCACACTATAATAATACACCAGTGTTTGTGTGTTTGCTTCATTATCCTTCAAAAATATTGAGCTTTAGGCTAGCCAAGTTGTTGCATTCTGAAATCAAAATTTTTTTTACAGATGGTGACAAATGAAAGTAATCTCAACATAAGAGTGTCTGAGTCAGGTGTTAGGCCTCCACATGCCACCAGAACAGCTTCAGTGTACTTTGGCACTGACTCTCCAAGTCTCTCATCTCTACTGGGGGGATGGACACTGTCCTTCCAACAGATAATCCCACATGTGGTGTTTGATCAGGTTGATAGAGACGCTGTCTAACGTCACTCCAACATCTCCTATAACTGTTCAGTTGGGTTGAGATCTGGTGACTGTGAAGGCCACAGCACATGATTGGGGGGCGGCTGTGGCTCAGGAGGTAGAGCGGGTCGTTTCCTAACCGGAGGATTAACGGTTAGATTCCCGGCTTGTCCAGTCAACATGTCGAGGTGTCCTTGAGCAAGACACTGTACCCCCAGTTGCTCCCGGTGATGTCACCGGTGTGTGAATGTGTGAGTGCTTGGGAGTGCGAATGTGTGAATGGCCGAATAATGTGAAAGTGCTTTGAGTGTGCTGTAAAAGCATAGAAAGGCGCTATACAAGTATAAGACCATTTACCATTTACATGATTCACTTCAGTTTCATGCTCATCAAACCATTCAGTGACCCCTTTTGTCCTATGGATGGGTGCGCTGTCATCCTGGAATAGATGACTCAAGTTTTTTTTAATTTTTTTATTTGTCACATCTGAAACTTACCAACAGCAGAAATAAAAAAAAATACCTGGAGATGATAGAGAGGATGTAAATCAAAATCCAGAACAATTAACACTGGCAGACACTAAAATTTGTCTGTTAGACTGCAACAGCAGGTCTCTCCAAAGTCCACCAGCAGCAGGAGTCGGGTGTAATATCCAAAGCACTAAGTCTGTCTGACTCAACTCAACTCCTTTATTGTCATTGTAAGCAATGGTAACAACGAAAGTTGTACAGCTTCTCACTTGGTGTGACATCACATGACGGACATGACATGACAAGAAAAAAAGTCAATAAAACGTCAATAATAAAAACAATTATAATATATAAATAACAAACAATAAGAAATAAAGACTAAAAGGGTGCAACCCCTAACTAAGGCCAGCACAGCAGCATTGACGCATTAGTGCATCTTGGTGTTCAGAGCACAGATGGTCATGGGAAAGAATTTGTCTCTGAATCGAGATGTGCGTGTTTTCATTGACCCCTGCCAGAGGGCAACAGATCAAACAAGTGGTGAACTGGGTGAGATGACTTTTTAATGATGTTTCTGGCTCTGCTTAAGTAACGTGAGGTGGCAATGTCCTCCAGTGATGGCAATGGGCATCCAATGATGCTGTTTTCACCAACCTCTGATTTATTAATGAATTTGGTGAGAACTAAAGCACCCAAGCGCTCTTTTTGGTAATCTGTGATGTATCAGCTGCAATTTAGCATGTGTCTAGTGTGATGAGTCTGTACAAGAGCTGGTATCAGCACTAGCTGTGCTGAGTCAAGTCTACATGTTGGTACAAGTTTGTGATACTGAAAGGTCTCAGCAAAGAACACATAGAGCTACAATAAGCCCCGAGGGGGAAATGTGTCAGTCATTCACTGCCTGCACTGCTTAAAGCGGGCTAAACTATGTCACGCAGTACTCGTGTAAGTTTGTAAAGCTATTTTATTTATATGACTGGCAGTTAGCGTGGTAACATGCTGTAAATGGTGAGTAAGCAGAAGAAAGTGCAAGATTCAAAGTGTCAAATGTAAGTGCTGGCATATGCTATTCCCTGGAGGCAGTACATACCATTGTAAACCTGATTAGTGTTAAACTCACAAAAATACCAGAAAAATTGTTTGTTCATTTTTGTTTAGCATTAGTCCCCTTAGTTCCAAGAAGTGGTCGAGCTAATAACATGCTAATGATGGAAAACCTTTGACAAAAACATGATTTGGCAATTAGATAGGTGTAAATACTGTATCATGGAAAATGTTCCTTGGGGATGTTGTAATCTCAGCCTAATGGAAGAGCAGCAGCACTCCCATCCTGTTTAAAGGTTACGATCCCCCCATGTACATGCAGCTCTGAGTGAATGCAGAAAATATGATGGGTGGCTATGCCAATAACCTTTTAGGGTGCAAAGACTGAAATGGTCTACTAGCAGTAAACAGGGCATTACTTGTCACAGGGCTAGCTTGTGACCTCTACAGTAGCTTGCCAATTGGCCACCAGGTGCTAGTACCTCTTAGTCTGTTCCATCAAGTTGTTGTTGTTGTTGTATGTAAACTATCAGTACATGACTCTTTGAAACATTTTGGGGAGTTGGCCTTTGCGTCTAAGGTATATTGGCATGCGTGTACAAAAGAGCACATGGGTGTTGACATGCCAATCAAAATTAAAATAGTTAATTATTTCTGGTCATGTCAGTATGCATGTTAGTATAATTTATGTAGTATATTATGTTTATATTGTATGTAGGTGCTCTGTTCCATTTCACCTTTAGGTTCCAGGTCCAGCTTGTCAAACAGGAAGTGAGAAATTCCA